AAGACATATGAGTTGTTTTAATTATTGACAGCAGCATAAAAAGAAATATTTAGTCTCAGTATAAGTAACAGCGTTAAGGAAGATGTCATCATTTAATACTAGAAAAGAACTTTTAATATAAAAATTAGCAGCATAAGTCTGACCCCCATAATCAATTTTTTCTGAAATTAAAATGTCTTAAAAGTTTGAGGGTATTTTTTTTCCTACATTTTCATTTGAAAGTCAAAGATGGAGATTTTCCGTCTAACTAGTTCACTCCCCCAGTGCCTGGGCAGGAATGAGTCGGAGCCAGGAGCCCAGCACTCAGTTGGGTCTCCCATGTGGACAGTAGGGAACCAAGGACTGAGTCATCACGTACTTCCCGCCAGGGTGTGCATTCGCAAGAAACTGGCCGGGAAGCAGAGAAGCCAGGCACTCTGGTAGGGACTGTGCTGGTAAATGCTCACCCCTCTAACATAGCTGTATTTGGATTTTCTTGAAGCCATAAAACTTATATTTTTTGAAAGATGTGTTTCTTTTTATTGGAAAAGCAGATTTACAGAGAGAAGGAGAAGCAAAGATCTGTCCACTGGTTCATTCCCCAAGTGACCACAGCAACCGGAGCTGAGCTGATCCGAAGCCAGGAGTCAGGAGCTTCCTCCAGGTCTCCCACACAGGTCCAGGGTCCGGAGGCTTTGGGCCATTGTCTACTGCCTTCCCAGGCCACAGGCATGGAGTTGGAAGGGAAGCAGAGCTGCTGGGGTATGAACTGGCACCTTGTATGGGATCCAGTGCAAGCAAGGGAAGGACTTTAGCCAGTGGGTTACTGCACCAAACTCCATAAAACTTTCTTTTTTTTTTTTTTTTTTGACAGGGAAAGATCTTTCCATCTGTTAATTCACTCCCCAGGTAGATAAAACAGCTTGAACTGGGCTGGTCCGGAGCCAGGAGCCAAGAGCTCCCATGTGGTTGTAGGGACCCAAGGAGTTAGTCCAGCTTCTGCTGCTTTCCCAGGCGCATTAGCAGAAGGCTTCATTGGAAGTGGACCAGCCAAGGCTTGAACCAGCATCCATAAGGGATGTGGGTCCCAAGCCATAAAAGTGTCATAAAAAATTGACTTAATTTTCTCATCTTCCATCTAACCAAATCGAACTTTCAGTGTCCACTGTAGTATATCCTTATGTCTAGATAACTATAGGTTTCCTTGCAGAGGAAGTGAATCTAGCCTAGATTCCCCCTTTTTGACATTCATTTGAAAAGTTTGAAATCCATGTGATTGTCTCCATTCTGCAATCACTAGCCTAGAACATATCACGATGGTCGCTCCTCTACCCTCCATCAGTGCCCTGCTGCCTTTGCTGCCTAACTCCTCATTCTCCACCCGCAAACCAAAACTAGTTTTGAAAACTTGGGAAATGGACGTCACCTCATGTTTCTAAAGCTGTAGGATTCCCTCTGAAGTCAGCACAGCCTTAAGGGCCCTCTGCAATCTGACCTCCACCTGCATGTCCCCCTCACCACCTCTTCTGCTGTTCTGGAACCTTCCGTGCCTTGAAAGGGCCTGATCTCCACTCTGCTCTGCCTGCTTCCCTTCCTTGCTCACTGCTTCAGGTCTGCCCGGAAGTCCTCTCCTCCAGGAAACTTTCTGATGTCCCAAGTTAATGGGAGGTGACCACCCACTGTTGCCACAGGACCGTGGACTCTAAGTCCCAGGTGATCTGTTCTCTAATGAGGCAGACTCCTTGAGGCAAGGACAGTGTGTCCTGCTCATTTAATTCACTATTACATCCTCGTCGTCCCTTTAGTCATTGTGCCTGGTGTTTGATACATGTCTTTGAAATGAATGTTTTAAAAGGATTCAAGTATTAAAATCCATTATCATAAGACATTTTGCATTGCATTATAAAGACATTACTTCTAAAAGGTCATAATGCTATAAATGGCAGCACAGTTTTTTAAAAGATTATTTCTATTGGAAAGTCAGATTTACAGAGGAGGAGACAGAGAGGAAAATCTTCCCATCGGATGATTTACTCCCCTAGTGGCTGCCACCGCCACTTGATCTGAAGCCAGGAACCCAGAGCCTCTTCCGCATCTCCCACACAGGTGCAGGGCCGTCCTCGACTGCTTTCCCAGACCACAAGCAGGGAGGTGGATGGGAAGCAGGACCGCCGGAATTTGAACTGGCATCCATATGGGATCCTGGCACGTGCGAGGTGAGGATTTTAGCCGCTCGGCTACAGTGCCAGACCCAGCGCCGAGTTCAGTACTGTTTTAGAAACAAGAAATTAAGCCATGAAGAAACCTTTGTCTCCTCAAGATTACCACATTGTCCACAATAGGTGTGAGTACTGATGGGTTATGTGGCATTGTTTCAAACACTGGTGCAGGTGGCTGTTCCTCCACATCAGGACTCCACCCACAGACTCAACCAACTGCAAGTCAAAACCATCAGGAAAGGTATTAGCATCTTGATGTAGTACGCTAAGCCTCCAGCTGCAGGACCAGCACCCCACATCGGTGCTGGACTCCACATCGGTGCTGGTTTGTAGCAGCTCTACCTCCAGTCCAACCCTGCTTATCGCCTGAGAGGGCAGGAGGGGGGGCTCAAATCCTTGGGCTCCTGCACCCCATAGAAGGCCCAGAGAAGTCTCCTGGCTCCTGGCTTCACATTGGCTTGGCTCTGACAGTTTCCAGGCAATTGGGGAGTGAATCAGAGAATGGGAAATCTCTGTCTCCTCTCTCACTCCCTTTCTTCCTTCCTTTCTCTCTCTCTCTCTTTCTAAATTATTTTATTTTTATTGGAAAGGCAGATATTCAGAGAGGAGAAACAGGAAGATCTTCCTTTCACTGGTCCACTCCGCGAGTGGACGCAACAGCTGGAGCTGAGCCGATCCAAAGCCAGGAGCCAGGAGCCTCTTCCAGATCTCCTACACATGGGCAGAGGCCAAAGGACCTGAGCCATTTTCACTGCTTCCCAAGGGCACAAGTAGGGAGCTGTATTGGAAGAACAGCTGCCAGGACATAAACTGGTGCCAGGGCCAAAGGTGGGGCTTAGCCTAGTATGCCACAGTGCCAGGCCCAGACTTTTCCACTAGTTTTGTGTTAATGAAGAAGTTAGTTCTTCAGAGTTTGTGGCATAAAGTAAAGGCAGTTTTCTGAATCGCTACCTAGTTTTCTCCACACGAAGACAGTTTATACATTTTTGACTGAAAGAGCCCCGAGCAGCAGCCCAGTGAGGCCAGGGCGAGGATGGTGGGGCACAGGTCAGTGCCCAGACCTCCCAGGCCAGACAGAATCCCAGCTGCCTCGGAGCCCTCCTGTCATCCAGAGCTAATGGCAGTCTGATGTTTCCCTGTCCCAAAATACTAGGGCGGAAGAGGTGGGAAGACTCGCCATACACAGTAAGATGCTTTTAGGGATGGCCAGAGGGTGGTGTAAGCCTGAGGGTACGTGCTGTGGCAGAGCAGAGAAAGCTGCTGCCCGCTGTGCCAGCGTACCAGTTGGAATCTGGGTACCAGTTGGAATCCCTGCTGCTCCACTTCCTTGCTCATGTGCCTGGGAAAGCAACAGGAGGTGGCCCAAGTTCATCTTCATGGGAGATTCATGAAAAGCTTCCAGCTCCTGGCTTTGGATTGACCGTTGTGTTCATTTGGGGAGTGAACAAGCAGGTGGAAGACCTCTCTCTGTCTACATCGCTCTGTAACTGCTTTTATTTTTGTTAAGATTTATTTATTTTTCTTGCAGAGTCAGATATAGAGAGGAGGAGAGACAGAGAGGAAGATCCTCCATCTGATGATTCACTCCCCAAGTGACCACAATGGCTGGTGCTGTGCCGATCTGAAGCCAGGAACCAGGAGGCAGGAACCTCCTCCAGGTCTCCCACATGGGTGCAGGGTCCCAAGGCTTTGGGCCGTCCTCCACTGCTTTCCCAGGCCACAAGCAGGGAGCTGGATGGGAAGTGGAGCTGCCAGGATTAGAACCAGTGCTCATATGGGATCCCAGTGCTCAAGGCCAGGACTTTAGCCACTAGGCCATAACTTTAAAAAAAAAAATTTATTTTTTAAGTTTCATATCCTTGGCCTAATAAATCACTTTCTCTCTTTTTAGTGTTTATTTTACTTTTTTGAAAGGCAGAATCACAGGGGGATAGGCCTGTCTCGTGGTTGCTTTCTGATAAGGCCACGATGGCTTGGGCTGGACCAGGCTGAAACCAGGAGAACTGTATGCCATCCCGGTCTCCCACAGGGGTGGCAGGAATACTGCTGCTTCCCAGGCACATTGGCAGGAAGCCCGATCGAAAGTGGAGCAGCCAGAACTAGAACTGTCGCTTCTATGGGGTGTGAGCATGGTAGGCCCCAGCTCAGTGTTGTGTGCCACAGCTCCTGTCCCTGAAACTCTGTTCTTATGTATGCGTTTGTATCTTTCCGTGTTTCCCCTTGCTACCAATCTCTTAACTTGGAAAAAAAAAGTTTTCATTACCTCAAAAATTGTGAAGTTGTTTATTCAGAAAGGCTCAGTTACATAGAGAGGGAGAGAGAGATTTTTCTATCCAGCACCTCACTCCCCCGGTAGTTGCAGTGGCCAGGGCTGGGCCACACAGAAGCCAGGAGCCAGTCATTTCTTTAGGGTCTTCCACATGGGTAAGGGGGTTCAAGCACTTGGGCCATCTGCTGCTGCTTTCCCAGGCACACTGGCAGGAAGCTGGATCGGAAGTGGGGCACTGGGAACTTGAACTAGCACTCATATGGAATACTGGTGTCACGGGCAAAGCCTTTACGCGGTACGCAACACTGGCTCGTTGAGTCGCTGTGTAGTTGATGTTTAAAACAGTTTTAGATATGTTTATTTTGCTACTCATAGTTCCCTCAGCATAAAATTCTGCTGTATCAGTATTGTTCCTTGCATTTGATATGCCTGTGACATCTGCTGGTTAGTGATTTTCCCACTTAAAAAGAGTAAGCCATGATGTATTTTTCTTGAAAATGCAGTTTTAACAGGTCAGCATCGTTCTCTTGCAGGGGAGCTATATGATGGCTTTGATGAAGAGTATAATTGTCCCATTTTAGATGAAGACAGAGTAAGTATGACTTCTCACGAAGTCTGTGTTTGTTGAATTTCCCCGGAAGGTTGACGCCAGTTTTCTTCTTTCCTCCTTTCTCCTTGGTCTTCCTTCCAGGTGATAGACGAGCTGGATCACCAGATGAGAGAAGGGGGGGTTATCGTCGATTACCACGGCTGTGATTTTTTCCCCGAACGTTGGTTTCACATAGTTTTTGTGCTAAGAGCAGATACCAGTGTGCTGTACAAAAGACTGGAAACAAGGTAAGAAAAAAAAAAAATTTGAATTCTTATTCAAGTGTAATATAGGCAAGTGTAATAAGTGTAATCCAGAACCCCGAAACTGGCCATACCATTGCGATAAATGATTTTATTTCAAAGTGTGACCATGCCAGTTTGGTGCGAGGCCACACCTTGTGGTTCCATCATTCTGAATCGAAGAGACAGGTGTGTCTGTGTGTATGTGTTAGCTGCAGGCAAGTGGTTTAACTCAGGAATGAGCGTGTCAGCTGAGAGTCTGGTTCCCTAACATGTACCGCGGGGACACCCTTTGGGCCGTGCCTTCTCTGATAAGCCAGCTTTCCCAGGAGAACAGCCCGGCCGGTGACTTCCTGTTTGTTACCTGGATGGCTGTGATTCATTCCAGTTGTCCCTACGCCAGAGATGGAGAGGATAAGGCAGAGCCAGCCCGAGTAAATACTTTACAGTCTTCAAGAACTGCTTGAGTTAATCCTCACCAGTACAGCGGCAGCTTTGACCTTAATGGCAAGAAAAAAAAACCAAACAGATTTTAGCCAAAGCTGTTTTGCACTGTCTTTGATCCGCACTGAGCAGCTGGCCGGGGGTCTCAGGAAGACCCCGGGCTTTGCCTAAGGTCCAGGGTTTGTGGTTCTCCCTGACTCCCTGCTGTCGGGCAGGCTGTTTGTAAACTGCACGGAGGGTACAATAGAACAGCTAATGGGAAATTAAGTTGGAGTTGGATGGAAAACTTCCACCTTTCTTCTGTAGGCGGTGAAAGGCCATTGGAAGTTTTTGAGCATTGAAGTATTACAGTCTGCGTGGTGTGGTATATGTCCCTTTCAATTAACTTCAACTTTTGATGAAAATGTTTGTATTTCTATAAATAGTCAAGAACTGGGCCTGGCGGCATGGCCTAGCGGCTAAAGTCCTCACCTTGAATGCGCCAGGATCCCATATGGCTGCCAGTTCTAATCCCGGCAGCTCCACTTCCCATCCAGCTCCTGCTTGTGGCCTGGGAAAGCAGTAGAGGACGGCCCAGAGCCTTGGGACACTGCACCTGTGTGGGAGACCTAGAAGAGGCTCCTGGCTCCTGGCTTTGGATTGGCACAGCACCGGCCATTGTGGTCACTTGGGGAGTGAATCATCAGATGGAGGATCTTCCTCTCTGTCTCTCCTCCTCTCTATATCTGACTTTGCAATAAAAATAAATAAATCTAAAAAATTATAAGAAAAAAGTCAAGAACTAAAGATATCAAACAATTAAGAGAGATAATGAATGTTTTTGTATTTTAACCACTGATTTATTTATTCGAAAGATGCAGAGGCAGTAGCAGATTTTCTGTCTATTGGTTGGCTCTCTGGATGGTCATGGTGGCTGGGCTGGGGCAAGGTTGATGCCATGAGCCGTTAACTCCAGCGGGGTCTCCCACGTGGGTTCAGGGGCTCTCAGCCTCGGGCCCTCCACGCCGCTGTCCCAGGCCTGTGGCCAGGGAGCCGGACTGCGTGGCTGCCCATGCCTGTGTTGAAGGTGGTAGCAACACAGGCCCCAATGTTCTCTGGCCATGTCTGTATCTTCCAACTGCTTTGCCTAATTTCAACTGCGTCGCATCTCTTTATTGTTAAGTTGTAAGTGTTCTTTTTGTATTTCAGATGCAAATCCTTTAAAAGCTACACTCGGCAAATATTTTCTTCAATTGTGTGGGTTGTCTTTTCCATGAAATTAGTCACCTTTTGTTAGGGGCTTTGATTTCATTATGATTGATAAAGAGTTGAGTATGAGTTTGTAGCTTTTTAAGCTAGAGATTTAGTTGACTAATTTGCATGTGCCTAAAGAGCACGTAAATTAATTGCTCATTATCTTTGCAATTATACATGTACAGACAAGCCATCAGGTGTTCAGCTCGCATATGATATTCGTGGTCGCATACATTTCATTTTCTTTATCTCATGATTGAGGACCTCTGGCTGGAGGCAGGCGGTTCTCAGGGTTACTGATGGGTTGGTAATCCAGGGCCTGCCGCACCTGATGGGGGTCACCTCACTGCTCAGCTCCGTGTCAGGGAAGCCTCTCGCATCTGCAGGCGACAGTCCCTGGCCTAGACAGAGGGGCCACCTCGCTGCTCAGCTCCGTGTCAGGGAAGCCTCTCGCATCTGCAGGCGACAGTCCCTGCCCTAGACAGAGGGGCCACCTCGCTGCTCAACTCCGTGTCAGGGAAGCCTCTCGCATCTGCAGGCGACAGTCCCTGCCCTAGACAGAGGGGCCACCTCGCTGCTCAGCTCTGTGTCAGGGAAGCCTCTCGCGTCTGCAGGCGACAGTCTCTGCCCTAGACAGGCGACAGTCCCTGCCCTAGACAGAGGGGCCACCTCGCTGCTCAGCTCTGTGTCAGGGAAGCCTCTCGCGTCTGCAGGCGACAGTCTCTGCCCTAGACAGGCGACAGTCCCTGCCCTAGACAGAGGGGCCACCTCGCTGCTCAGCTCCGTGTCAGGGAAGCCTCTCGCGTCTGCAGGCGACAGTCCCTGCCCTAGCTCCAGGCACTGAGAGCAGGAGTTCTGTGCTGGATTTTTTTTTTTTTCTTGTATTCAAAATGTCCAGTGTGTGTTTTTTTCCTGGAACTCCAGCTGATACCAGTTAACAACAATGTGCTTCCTTTCTTGCCTGATCTCTTTGGCTTCCAGGGGTTATAGTGAGAAGAAACTAAACGACAACATTCAGTGTGAGATTTTCCAGGTTCTTTACGAAGAGGCCATGGAGTCATACAAGGAGGAGATCGTGCATCAGTTGCCCAGCAACAAACCGGAAGAGCTGGAGGAAAACCTGTGTCAGATCCTGCAGTGGATCGAGCAGTGGGTCAAGGACCACAACCCCTGACTCACCGGGCGGGCCTCTTCTCACTGCTGTCTGCCCACGCCGCAGCAGCAGCTGTGTGGTGTGAAGGTTTCTCCCTCCATTTCTTTTTCTCCATGAGAAAACTTTGCAACCTTAAGTGTCATGAATATAATATTAAGGATTGAGAATGAAGATTATTAAATGTTCAGATTGTCCGGTAATAAGCAAGTACGAATCAGTGATTGGGCAATGGAAGCCTGTAACAAGAAATTGCAGATAATCTCTTAATAAAATCAAAGATAAAATATCAGAGTATTGCCTTTTTTTTTTTTTTTTTTGCTTTTTAAATTTCTCTTGTCATTTACAGACAACAAATCTCATGTATTTCACATGTACAGTTTTAGGAATATTCTGATAATTTCCCACCCGGACTCATTTTGAATTATTGCAATGACATGCTTTAAATTTCTAATCTTGGGCCCGGCACTATAGTGTAGTGGTTAAAGTCCTGGCCTTGCTCACCCCGGATCCCATATGGTCACTGGTTCTAATCCTGGCAGCCCTGCTTCCCATCCAGCTCCCTGCTTGTGGCCTAGGAAAGCTGTCAAAGATGGTTTAAGACCTTGGGACCCTGCACCCATGTGGGAGACCTAGAAGAGGCTCCAGGCTCCCGGCTTCAGATCGGTGCAGCTCTGGATGTTGTGGTCACTTGGGAAGTGAATCAGTGGATGGAAGATCTTCCTCTCTGTATATCTGGCTTTCCAATAAAAATAAATCTTTTTAAAAACATGACATATGGAAATTTCATATACGTTTAAGTTATATGTGATGTGATGGTGAAAATTTAGGTCAGAGTAGTCATAGAAACTCAAATAAATAACCAAAACCATGAATGAATAAATAAATGAAAGTCCTGAATTCCAGACTCAATTTTTTTTTTTTTTTTTAAGAGCTGGGGCAGAAGCCAGGAGCCAGTGACACAAGCCCAGTGTCCCACAGCATGGCAGGAACAGGCCAGCTGCAGCATCCACCACTGCCCGGTTGAACTCGGGGCCTCCGACCGCAGACGGAGGCATCCCAACCGGTGGCCTAAACACTAAAGCAAACCTGCCCCCCAAAGCGTCAATGCTGACATGCACGCCCCCCCAGATCTGAGTTCTAATACAAAATCGCGCCGTGGCTCTGCAGGTTCCGACCGCTCGCGACACCGCCCGTCCCCGGTCGGCGGGAGGCGGCGTCGGGTTCAGGAAATCCGCAGAGCCAGGTCGTCCACACCGCCCTCCTCTCCCTGGGCCTCCGAAGTCAGCTCACACCCGGGTGTCCTAGGGGCTCCCAGGCGCGGGCGCCTACCCTCTCCGCCCTACACCGAGGGGCGCCGCGGGATCGGAGCACGGTGGGCGCAGCTAACGTCCAGCTCGCTGCCCAGCCTCCTCTCCGGCCCGGGCTCCGCGGGTCGCCGCCGCTCACCTGGCCCGGAGGACGCGCCGCGGCGGAGGTGCCAGGTGAGCGCGCGGGTGGGGACGCCCGGGTGCCCGGGAGGTGGGCCTGCGCCGGAGCCCGCGCCCGGAGTTCGGGTCCCCGCAACAGCTGCAGGAGGATGTCCGGGGCCGGGCAGGTGGAGGCCGGGGCCGGGCAGGTGGGGGCCGGGCAGGTGGGGACAGGGCAGGTGGGGGCCGGGGCCGGGCAAGTGGAGGCCGGGCAGGTGGGGGTCAGGGCCGGGCAGGTGGGGGACTGTGCAAGTGGAGGCCAGGCAGGTGAGGCCGGGCAGGTGGAGGCCGGGGCAGGTGGGGACCGGGTAGGTGGGGGCCGAGGCCGGGGCTGGGTGACTCCGGGCTCGGGGTGCAGCTGCACGTGGGGATCCAGGCAGACTGGGGGACCTTCCCATGGACTCCCGACCTTGCCACGCGTTTTAGGGACACTTTTCTTTTTTCTCTCCCGCTCCTCTACGGAGTTTCCCTATTAATGTATGAGTTGAAACGACATTGTGCTAAATGCAGCATGGTACGTGGCTTGCATCCCGGGCTTTGTGGCGAAAGTTGGGCCAGATCCTCACGGAGCCTGCGGTGCAGTCAACAACCCAGCTCCAACGTGCATTTCTTTATTTTGATCGACCAACATATTATCATTAGAGGAGTTTGGGTAAGGTGTTTACAGCAAGTTCTTATTTCTAACTTTGCGACTTACTGTGGGTCTAAAATCATTCTAAAATAAAAATGTCTGAAACAAAACTCTGGAGCCAAGGAAAGCAGGCTGTTTGCCAGGCTCATGGCCAATCCGGAAATAAGTGTCTGTTTGACCAACTTGTTTGCAAAGGCAAAGTTGTCAAGGCCACAGGTGGTTGAATTTTCCAGGCAGGAGCTTCCTATGGGTCCTACTGTGCTTGCTTGCAATGCACAAGTGTGCGGCAGGCTCTCTTTCATAGGAGTTGGGAAGGAATGAGCCCTCTTGTGGAAAACAAGGTGTGGGACATGACGGATGTCTGCGGGGGAGCCAGGGAAGTGTTTGAGGACGAGAGAAGGGCATCCTAGCGTCGGGGTAATGGACTTGACAGCAGCGTGTAGAGTGGTCCCGAGCAGTCTAACCCACAAATGACTGGTTCAGACCAGAAGTCAGGAGACATTCCAGGGGCTGCGTCTACAAAGAATGAATCAGTTGGCAGAGAGTCACTCAGTCTTGCAGGCATAGAAGATCCTAAGGAGTGAAAGAAAATGGAAAGGCCACACTGGCTCCACTGGTGTTGGAGCCAGTGGTGTTTGGCAGGGCCTGCAGCTGGAGTGAAGAGTGGATGCCACACATACCCCGGGGGGACAGGAACAGGAAAAGGAGTCTGAACAGACAGCCAGGAGGCAGTTGGGAACAAAGGAGGGTGTGACTTATGTTGGGATCAAGCAGCAGTCTGGGCTTCCAGTGTCCCAGCCGTGCAGGGATGGGGGGAGGCTGAGCAGGGTGGGCTTTAATGTTGTAAATTGTTGATGTTATGTTGGGGCTTTTAATTGATCAAGATGATATTCTGCCAGCTCTACCTTCAGACTAGAGATGGTCTCCCCAACAAACCGTTGAATGTATCTGGACAATTAGATGCTGGACTCCATGCTTGGTGTATGCTTGCAGTGAAAGAATCTCAACTGAATTTGATCTGTAATACTGCAACAAGGTGGAGGAATCCACCATGGGGGGAGGGCGCGGGGAAGGGTTGGGGAATCCCAGAGCCTATGAAACTGTGTCACATAATACAATGTAATTAAAAAAAAAAAAGGTGGCATGGGAGTTTGCTGGTTAGAATCAGTGGGTGTAGTTGGGCCATGGCACAGGACGGACAGGAGTCGAGAAAAGGGGTGTGAGAAGGCCTTTGAACCTGCGCCTTCTGAAGTCATGCTTTTACATCGTCTCATGTTCAGAAGTGGCTGCTGCAGGGTCGCCAGGGGTGTGACCTTCACAGTATAAGGAGCCATGAAAAGCCAAGGTCAGGTGCACAGATGTCAGTCACTGAGCTGGCTGCAGCCAGTTCTGTCCGGTTTGGTCAGGGACCCTAAAGAGAAATATCAACTGACTTAAAAAAAAATGATTTTATTTATTTTTATTGGAAAGGCAGATATAAAGAGAGGAGGAGAGACAGAGAGGAAGATCTTCCATCCGTTGATGTTTTTCCCTGACTTCTTATATTCCTATCTCAAGATGAAAAGAGCTGTGCTTGCATGTCCCAGGTGGAGTGACCCCAGGTTTAGCGAAGGTCTGAAAACACTCAAGCCTGGTTCTTGGAGCGTTCCCACGCCTGTACCCCAAATAACACGAAGCTGCGAACAGACGTCTCCTGTCCTGTCCTTGAAACAACCCGTCCAAGGCAGGGGGCACATTTTTTGATGCAATCTTTTTTATATAAATGCTTTAACCTCAAATCACCTTTCATTGAATCTCGACAATACTTATACCATCTTTTTTTCTTTTTTTAAATATATGTCTTTTATTAGAAGAGGTTCGCTCTTTGGCAAAGTGGAGGGCAGAGGAGTCTTCATGGTTTCTGGGGGAAGACAGTAAGAGAGAGATCCCCCAAAATGAAAGACCAATTTCATTTATTTGAAACGTTGGGAAAGCACATAGTTCCTCCTTGGCAGGTTTTTTTTTAGAGCAAAGTACAGGGGATGTGTGTTTCCTCCACGCCCCAGGGTAACATTGAGAAAAGCACGAGGTCTCTCTAAATAGTTGAGGCGGAGCAGTTCTTTTGAAACGCTGGGGTGGCGAAAGTTCCTCCCTCTCCTAGTGCCGCAGGGACGCGGCCAGGCGAGCTGTTTCCAGTGGGGGTCTATAGTGGACTGACACAGCGAGGGTTCTGTCTCCGGGGATTTGCTGATTCCAAATGATGGCACGGCTGGAGCTAAGACTGTCCAAAGCCAGGAGACAGTAGCTTCTTCCAGGTGTCCCAGGGGTGATGCAGAGCCCCCAAGGACTTGAGTCATCTGTCACTGCTTTCCTAGGCCATAAGCAGGGAGTTGGATCAGAAGGACGGTAGCCGGGACTCGAATTACCGCCCATAGGGGATGCCAGTGCCACAGGTGGAAGTTTAGCCCCTTTGATGTGCTTTTCTCCCCCCCACAGAAGCGTGTTTTCCTTCTGCGCAGGACGCAGCTGGCCCATGAGCAAGCTGGGGAGGGCCCTGAGTGAGTCGGAGGTGCCGGCCTGGGACAGGGACGAAGATGACATGTCGGCAGGCGATCTCGGGTATGGCCTGGGAAGGAGACCTGGTGGCATTTACGAAGCGGCAGGTTCGCGGTTCTGCACGGCTGGGGACAGAGCCGACGAAAGGCACTGTAGCCCTCCGCCGTTTCCGAGAAGGGGGCAGGAACGAAGCGGATCCATCTTTCAGTTTCCCAAGCAGAGGAGCTTGTCCGACACCTTGCCTCCTGGGCCCGGAAACTCGGGTAGCAGAGCACACAGCAGCACTGGTGAGAGCCCGGCTCCTCTCTCCTCCTCCTTCCTCCGTCTTCCTTGCCCTTCCTCTCCTTCCTGCCCCCTTCAATTTCTCCTCTCCCTTCCCTCCTCCTTCTCTTCTGGGCCTCTTGTCAGTGCACTTCTGACTCCCCAAAGTGGACTGTAGAAAGCCGTGCCGTGCAGTCATGCACCCCTCCGGGTTGGTGGCAGTCCAGCTGTGGCCACTGTTTATTCCATGCGCGCATGGTGCATGCTGTGAAATGCGGTGATGGCTACTAGCTGGTGACATCAGCGAGCAACGACCTACCTTGCTTTTTGTATATTTCTATTATCTTTTATTAATATTATTATTTCTGTTTTGTCAATGCCAGGCACAAAGTGTAGGTTCTGGAAATAATGTGGAAAAATGCAGGCAAAGGCCCGTTAGCTGTGGATTTGTAATTCTTTTTATTTTTTAAGATTTATTTATTTTTATTGCAAAGTCAGATATACAGAGGAGAGACAGAAAGGAAGATCTTCTGTCTGTTGATTCACTCCTCAAGTGACTGCAATGGCCAGAGCTGAGGCAATCCAATATCAGAAGCCAGGAGCTTCTTCCGGGTCTCCCACACGCGGGAGCAGGGTCCCAAGGCCTTGGGATGTCCTTGACTGCTTTCCCAAGGCCACAAGAAGGGAGCTGGAAGGGAAGTGGAGCAGCCGGGACAGGAACTAGTACCCTTATGGGATCCTGGTGTGTGCAAGGCAAGGACTTTAGCTGTTAGGCATTGGCACTGGGCCCTAACATTCAGTTTTACCTCAGTGTTTTTCAAAACTTTTTTTTTTCAAAGTATGTGTCTTATTTCTGAAATGTTTTAGCTATATATGTTTATTATATTTGAATCATCACAACGCTTTTTAAAAAATGATTTATTTAAAAGGCAGAGTGAATTATGAAATTGGAAAGACAGATAGTGCATCCAATGATCCACTCTACAAATGGCCACCATGGCCAGGCTGGGCCCAGCTGCAGCCGAGAAGCAAGAATTCCACCCAGGTCTCCCACGGTGGGGGCAGGGATCCAAGCAGTGAAGCCCTCTTCCACTGTCTTCCCAGGCACGTTGGCAGGAAACTGTGTTGGAAGCAGAGCAGTTAGGACTTGAACCTGCGTTCCACTATGGACTGCCAATATCCCAAGTAGAAGCTTAATTGAACGCATCACAACTTGCGCTCTTCCCCCTTCTTTTTTTAAATCTGAGAGCCAGAGATGGAGAGAAGCAGAACTTCTATCTGCTGCCTCTCTTCCCACATGCTCAGGATGGCTGGGGCTGACTCTGGCAGGAGCTGTGGACCAGGAATTGCATTCAGAGGTCGCGTGTGGGACACAGAGACCCGATCCCTGCTCCATCACCTGCTGTGTCTCAGATCCTCTTGAACATGAACTTGGAACCTGAGAGCAGGGCCAAGAGTCTCAGTATTGATTCACCTCTATGCCAAACGCCCAGTCCTACTATTATTTTCTTTTTGCAATTTAAGAGAAAATATATTTGCTTTTTTAAAAAAAAAAAGATATTTTGACAGTTTGTCCTATATTTAACAAATGAAAAGGCTCAAGTTTTTGTTTTTATTTTTCTCTAACAGACACTAATTCAGAGCTGTCACGTGAAGAGTTAAGGCAGCGTCTCCTTGAAACTTTACAGGTAGGTATTATTAAAACTCTCATGGGAATAAAATATGCTGCTTAGATGCCAGTATGAAATAGAAGGTAAATGCTGGCTTTCCAGGTCTTCCTGGAGAACCACAGTCTAAAGCACATGGGTTTTTTTTTTTTTAAGATTTATTAATTTTTATTGGAAAGGGAGATATACAGAGAGGAGGAGAGACAGAGAAGATCCTCCGTCTGATGGTTCACTCCCCAAGTGGCCACAACTGCTGAAACTGGGCCAATTTGAAGCCAGGAACTTCTTCCAGGTCTTCCCCGACTGCTTTCCCAGGCCACAAGCAGGGAGCTGGATGGGAAATGGAGCCGCTGGGATTAGAACCGGTGCCCATATGGGATCCGGGGCACATTCAAGGCGAGGACTTTAACCACTACACTATTATGCTGGGCACAGCACATGGTTGTCAGTTGGCCTTCTCTGCTTCCCATCTTCATTTTGTAAAGTTAATTAGTTAATTTGACAGGCAGAGTTACAGAACGGGGAGAAACAGAAAGATCTCTGCTTGTCCACACCCCAGTGGCTACAATGGCTAGAGCTGGATTAAGCCAAAGTCCAGAGCTTCTTCTGGGTCTCCTACATGGGCTGGCAAGGGCCCAAGCACTTGAGCCATCATCCCGTGCTTTCCTAAGCACTGAAGTAGCAAGCCGAATCATGTGGGAAGTGGCCAGAATTCAAACCCATGTGCACGTGGCCAGCGGCGGGCATGGAGGGGGTTTACTCCTCTGTGCCCCAACACAGGCCCCATCTTCATTTCTTACAAGGACCCTTTAGGATGTCCCCCAGGTCTCCTGCCCTTAGGTCTCTAATCTGCCTCCCCTGGCTTTGAAATGGCCTGACTCCAAGCCCTTGAGGTCAGCGGATGGGGGGCGGCTCCCAGGTGGCCCAGGGAACAGGAGCTGCCCTGAGGGGCACCCCTGGGAGGGCAGACAGAGTGTGCTGTGGAAGCTGCATGTCCTCAGGCCTTGACAGCCAGGAGTCTGTGAGCGGCCCTGTAGGCGGCTGGGAAGGCCACCTCCGCCTCCTTTGCCCCTTGCTTGGCTCCGGTGAGCGCCGTGGTACCTGTGGTGACCCGCTGTGCCTCTGTTACTATCACCCGCACGACTTCCTTCCCTGGGTGTCCGTGTCCATGTTCCCTTCATTTTAATGAGAACGTGAGTGGCTCACTGGAATAACTCAGTCCCCAAAGGGCACATATCGTGGTTCTCTCTCATATAAGGCAAGTTTCATGCAGAATACAAGCTCAAGGACCCGGCACTGTGGCTTAGTGGCTAAAGTCCTTGCCTTGAATGCGCTGGGATCCCATATGGGCACTGGTTCTAATCCCAGTGGCCCCGCTTCCCATCCAGCTCCCTGCTGGTGGCCTGGGAAAGCAAAGCTTTGGGATCCTGCACCTGTGTGGGAGACCTAGAAGTTCCTGGCTCCTGGCTTTGGATCAGCGCAGCACCGGCCGTTGCGGTCACTTGGGGAATGAATCGTCAGACAGAAGATCTTCTCCTCTGTCTCTCCTCCTCTCTATATCGGACTTTGTAATGAAAATAAAATAAATCTTAAAAAAATACAAGCTCAACAGATATATGGGTAAACACGCATGTACATATGGTCATCTAGAGGAACTGCATAATCAAGACTATCATATTGAGATGTGAGGGCGCAGGGCAGGGTGCATCTCTACTTGCAGACTGGAGATGGACCCGCAATGAAACTGTTGAATATGTCCTGACAGTAGGATGCTGGGCTCTCCCATTGGCCGTGCCTACAATGTCAGGATGCACTTAAATAGCATAACGATAGGCTTGTGGCTGTTTTTTTTTAAGGACTACACTATTGTACTAACGTAGGGAAAATCAGTGGCGAGAGGGGATTTGGAGGGAGAGGGGAAAAGAATGGAAATCCCAGAGCCTCAGTCTACAATTGCCAGCATCCCAGTGTGTATCCGGGCTGCTCCACTTCCCATCCAGCTTCCTGTTTGTGGCCTGGGAAAGCAAGCAGTAGAGGGTGGCTCCAAGCTTTGGGACCCTGCACCTGCTTGGGAGACTCAGAGGAAGCACCTGGCTCCTGGCTTTGAGTTAAACTCATGGTGCCCCCAGAGCCCCTCCCGTAAGTAACTACAAGGTCAGAAGAGCTAACTGCAAGCCGGATAGAGTCTGCTTTTGGTACCAATAGTTGAGGCTCAGCCCGGCAGAGCAGTTGAGATTCAACCAGTCGCAGGCTGGCCAAGTCCCATCGTGCACACAGGTGAGGCGGGCGCTGTTGAAGCCCAGTCAAGCTGTGTCTTAGCTGGCTTCTGCCTGCCGCGGGGCAGAGGTGGCTCCTCTAAACTCCAACAGCTCTGAGCCTGCCCGACCTGTGATCAGTGAAACTCTTTAGCCTAATCTGAATTTATTATTAATGGAATTATTTTAAACACATCTGTAAAAGTCACCTTCACGGTATTGGGGCTTAGAACATTTTGGGGGTGAACATTATTCAACACACAATAGTACCTAGTTGTAATTGTATAAGCGGTCATGTATTGTTTTATGTGACTTAAATTTTTTTTTTAATTAGTAGCTTTGTGGCCTCGGTGGCTAAAAAACGATTTGGGTTTGGGGGCCTGCCCTGTACTGACGGAGTTAGCAGCCTCCTGCAGTGGCTGGCATCCCATCACAGCACTGGTTTGAGGCTAGGCTGTTCTGCTCGTGCTTCAGCTCCCTGCCAATGCATCTGGGAAAGCCGTGGAGGATGTTCATGGACACCTGCAGCCCCCATGGGAGACCCGGATGAAGCTTCTGGCATCGGCCCAACCCAGCTCTGGCCATTGTAGCCATTTGAGGAGCAAACCAGTAGACTGAAGATCTCTCTCTCTGTGTCTCTCTTTCTCTCTCTGAGTCTCTACTTTTCAATTAATTAATTTATATCATTAATTTATAATCAGAAGTAGAGACATTTGGCTTGCCTGCTTCATGTAGCTTGCCGAAGGCCAGCTCCAATCGAGTTCAAAGCTTGAAAAGTGAGTGTGGTGTTGGCAAAAAGAGACCCAAACACAGTCACTTGGTGCCTTCTTTGTAACAACTCAAGAAGCTGACCTTTTGTATTTTCCCAGCCCCATCATAAGCTTCTGCACAAACATTTAATTGTTCTATTTTTACTTCCTGACTCAGGGGGGAATGCACAGGCATTTGGTCACTCTGTTTGTACTTCAGGGCTAAGCAGGTGCCCCTAAAGATAATTCTGCAAAATACTGTATTCCTATTCTTCAAAGCAAGCCATTGTTCATTCTTCAACAGTGGCCACGGAGCGACAGCCAGGACTCCAAGGCCAAGGCACATGCGATTACCTGCTAATCAGTAACACATTCCCACCACATTTCTGTTTCTACAATTTGCCCATCACTTATTTGGAAAAATACATCACAAGAGAAGAAAACATAAAGATCCAAAAGTTTCAAATATTAAACCCCCCTACAACTGTAGGCTCTACAACTGCATAAACAATCAAACAATAATTAAAAGGATATCTCTATAATATTAATAAAAGCATCCTTTAATTCCTCTAGGCAAAAATTATGCAAGAGGCTAAAACAGATACATTTCCTATGCTCCAAAGAAACTGCAAGGACAGGCTAGCCTTTGAGGTCACAGTAACTGTATTTATCGCCCTAGCAGTTTCAGCTCACATCCCATCACTTTCATTAATTTTTAGGATACTTACCAATCCATTTCCCAGAAGGCGTGCCACATGTCTGAGCCAGATTCCTGGGCAATGGGTAGATACACAATAAGGTGTCCAGAAACGGCATGGGCTTAATTGTATTCCTGTGTGCAAATTATTAAAGGGCCAATCACCAAAACATGATCCCATGCAGCATTAAGTCTCAAGCTCACGTTGGTTGCAAAACCCATCTCCCACGGGCAAACAACAATGCCTCAATAGATGACAGAAATCTTAGCAGGGTGGTTAGCGTGTCATGCAAAAGGGGGTGAGACTGCGTTAAGATGGATGGAGAGACATCCGCCGTGCCCTGCCGTACAGCTGGAAGCTCCCTGCGGCCTTGCCAACAGGGGAGCCGTTCTGTTCACACCTTTGTGCCATCCACACCCACTGCATGGACCCCAGCACACCCAGCATAGAGGCATTCCAGGCCGCGTTCGCACATGAGCCAACGGCAAGTGTGGATGAACTCCAGAAATGACTTCGGGTTTGCCCGTGTTGTGGAAAGATCTAATTTTATCCCTGTACTTAGGAAGTAGAAATTTTAAAAACTGAACTTGAGGCATCCCAAAGACAACTCGAAGGTAAAGAGGAAGCATTGAAGATCCTTCAGAGCATGGTAAGAAGTCATTTTTGTAGTTCAGCTATTTATATTTTCAATAATACATGATGTGGTTTTTGCTTTTTAAAACAGGAGTGTTATGGGGCTGGCTTTGTGGCATAGCTCATCCAACCTCTGCTTGCAAAACCCAAAGCTGCCATCCCACGTTGGAGCACTGGTTCATATCCTGGCTGCCCCATTTCTGAGCCAACTCCCTGCTAATGAATGACCCTAGCGCTTGGGCCCTTGCCACAAACATGAGAGACCCAGATGAAGTTTCACAGCACCAACTCTGTTTCTTTTTAACTTTGACAGCTGGGAACATTTTCTTTGTTTAAAATTTATTCACTCCCATATTAAAGAACCGAAGAACTGACTTTGGAATTGTCAGATTCCCCACAAGGCGGGGGTCACTGTGACAGGAGCTTAATTTTCTGCCTTAAAACATAAATGTGGGGTAGGAGGACCGGCATGGTGGCTTAACAGGCTGGTCCTTTGCCCGTGGCACGAGCATTCTATACAGGTGCCCGAGTGTCAGCAGCTCCGCTTCTCATCCAGCTCCTTGCTTACGGCCTGAGAGAGCAGCAGAGGACGGTCCAAGCCTGGGGGCCCTGCACCCGCACGGGAGGCCCGCAAGAGGCTCCTGGCTTCAGATCATCTCATCTGCCATTGTGGCCATTTGGGGAGTGAACTAATAGATCAATGGATGGAAGATCTCTCTCTCTCTCTCTCTCCCTCTTTCTCTCTGTATCTCTGTCTTTCAAATAAAAATAAATATATATTTTTTTAAAGTGTGGTGTGGGCATTTGGTGCAATGGCTGCCATGTGGCATCAAGTACCTGCTTTCCCCATTGACAGTCCTGAGCTTGATTTCTGCCTCCCCTACTTTTTGTTTGTTTGTTTCATTTATTTGAAAAAGAGAGAAAGAGAGGGTAATTATCTTCCATCTGCTGGTTCACTCCCCAAATGGCTGCAACAAGCCAGGGTTGGGTCAGGCCAAATCCAGAAGCCAGGATATCCATTTTGGTCTCCCATATGGATAGGAGCGACTCCAGCCCTTGGACCGTCTTCTGCTTTCCCAGGCACACGTCCAGGGAGCTTGACGGGAAGTGGAGCAGCTGAGAGTTGAACCAGCACTGTTGATAGTGATGCTGGCATTGTGAATGGTGGTTTAACCTGCTGTGCTACAGCACTGGTCTCTGGCTCCACTTCCGATTCCAGCTTCCTGTTAACACTTACCCTGGGTGGCAGCACGTGACGGTTTGAGTCCTTGGGTCCCTGACACCCATGTGGAAGACCCGGAGTGAGTTCTGGCTTCCTGGCTGTGGCCCAGGCCGGGTTGCTGTGGGCATTTGGGGGCAAACCAGTGGGATGAAAGATGTTGGCCTCTCTGTCTGGTTTAAAATAAAAGGAAAGATGGGCCCGCCAGCATGATCTAGCGGCTAAAGTCCTAGCCTAGAACGTGTCTGGATCCCATATGGGCACCAGTTCATGTTCTGGCGGCCCCGCTTCCCATCCAGCTCCCTGCTTGTGGCCTGGGAAAGCAATTGAGGACGACCCAAAGCCTTGGGACCCTGCACCCGCGTGGGAGACCCAGAGGAGCTCCTGGCTCCTGGCTTTGGATCGGCATAGCACCGGCCATTGCGATCACTTGGGGAGTGAATCATCGGATGGAAGATCTTCCTCTCTGTCTCTCCTCCTCTCTGTATATCTGACTTTCCAATATAAATAAATAAATCTTTAAAAAAAATAAAAGGAAAGAAAAGAAACATCTTAAAAGAAAAAAAGTAGGAAATTTGAGTATTGCCTTGCATGGGACATTTAATCCACACTGATGGTATTTTTATTTTCTGTAGGCAATACTGGGCAAAGCCACAAGTCATACCCAGGCAGCACTCCAGAAAACTGTGGAACAAAAGAGATCCTTGGAGAAGGTATTTGTCACTAAGCTTGAGATGGGGTTTGCATAAACTCGCCATGCTTTTGAAACAGGAGTCTCTTAGCAGCGTGTCTGCGTGTCCATCTCCCTGCCTTCTCCTTGGGAGCCTCAGCAGAAGCCCACACTGGCAAAGAATCCAGCTTTCCCCATTTCGTGGAAGTAGCAGGCCTTCCAACGCACACTTCCACTCTCTCTTGTTTATTCTTCCTGCCCCACTGCGTTAGCACCACCAACCTAGTTTGGGATCATTCTAGATGGTTCCTTTCCTGTGCCTGTTAGGCGCCAGGACTCTCAGGGGTGAATTTTGTTTGCAGCATGACACCGGGGTAAATCCTGAACAAATAGACCTTCAGTCTAGCCCATCTTGAAGCCAATCAGGAAGTGAGCACAGACAAAGCTTTTTTGAGTGCCAAAGAAGCAGCTGGTCCTCTCTGCACCTGAACGTCATAGGTTTTTTTTGAACAGTAATTTTTTTCTCTTTTAAATGTCTCTGTGAAATAATTAAATGATTATTGGGATTAACACTGTGGCATGTGGTCTAAACCTGCTCCAGCAGTGCCGGCATCCCAAATGAGTACCGGTTCGTGTCCCGGCTACTCCAGTTCCAAGCCAGCTGATGCTCTGGGAAAGCAATGGAGGATGGCTTGGGCCCCTGAATCCAGGTGTGGGGCTCGGATGAAGCTCCTAGCTTTCGGTCGGCTCAGCTCCAGCTGTTGTGACCATTCAGGAGTGAGCCAGCACATGGAAGGTCTCTCGTCCTCTTTCTGTAAAATGTGCGTTTCAAACAAAAATTAACAAACCTGTAAAGAAAACTAAATGATTATTAATGGTGGTAGCTTATTCACCTTATCCTAAAATGAAATTTTTACAATGCTTTACCATGGAAGTACTGTTTTCTTTCTACAGGAAATAAATGCCTTGCAGTGGGAAATAGAATTTGATCATAATAGACTTAAAAATATAGAGGAATCTTGGACTCAAAAATACGACAGGTTTGTATATTTTTCTGCTATAACTTTCCTTTGAAAGTCATGAAACGTGTATAATTGAAATTTAGCATACACTTTCATCTGTGAACTAATGAATGGTAAATATGGTAAAACCCGTTATCATTTGCCAATGCTGTAGTTTGCTTTTTGTGTTAATTGCATTCTTCTTTTTTCCTTCCTTCCTTCCTTTTTTCCTTCCTTCCTTCCTCTTTCTTTCTCTCTCTCCCCCCACTCCATGCCTCCCTTCCTGCCTCTCTCTCTCTTTCTGAGCCGATCCAAAGCCAGGAGTAAGGAGCTCCTCCCGGGTCTCCCACGCAGGTGCAGGGTCCCAAAGCTTTGGGCCATCCTCGACTGCTTTCCTGGGCCACAGGCAGGGAGCTGGATGGGAAGTGGGGCTGCTGGGATTAGAACCGGCGCCCATATGGAACCCAGGAGTGCAAGGCGAGGACCGTAACCACTGCGCCACCGCACCGGGCCCTCTAGACTAACTTTTGTTGCATGAGTAGACCCATTTGGTTTACCCTTTCATCAGTTGGGCTAATTCTACCTCTTGGCTGTTTGGGATAATGCTTCTGGGAACTTGGCTGTAGGTTGTGTGTCTCTGTCCTTCTTCCCACTAAAGAGCTGACTTTATCTTGCTGGGGAAGTTGCAGGCTCCCTGCAGAAGGTACCAAAATCACCCACATTCCCCTGCTGACTACACAGCAGTCTCCGTCGCCATCAGCATCCCCCTCTGGGGCACTCCGTGCATTCTGCTCCCTGAGCCCGCCTTGCTCCATCCTGTTTCTCAGAATCCAGTATTAAGATGTGGGCCTGTGCATCTTTCCGTGCAAGTGTCTGAAGGTGTCCCGAGCTTGCAAGTGGTGTTGGCATGGTTATTAACTTGGGTTAGAACTTCAGGAAAAAGGAATGGGTCCAAAATGGGTGGTTCTGGGCCCGGCGCGGTGGCGCAAGTGGTTAAAGGTCCTCACCTTGCACGCCCGGGATCCCATATGGGCGCCGGTTCTAATCCCGGCAGCCCCGCTTCCCTTCCAGCTCCCTGCCTGTGGCCTGGGAAGGCAGTCGAGGATGGCCCAAAGCTTTGGGAACCTGCACCCGCGTGGGAGACCTGGAAGAGGCTCCTGGCTTCCGATCGGCATAGTATCGGCCCGTTGCGGCTCACTTGGGGAGTGAATCATCGGACGGAAGATCTTCCTCTCTGTCTCTCCTCTCTGTATGTCCGCCTTTCCAATGAAAAAAAATAATAAAAATAAATCTTTAAAAAAAAAAATGGGTGGTTCTGCTGAGAACTAAGTAAACCAAGGGGGTAAGATTATGTTAAACATCCTAGTCCTTTCAATTAGTTTATTTTAACACTGTGATGCATCTCAAGTGTTGAATATTTTGGAGGAGGAAGGGACTGCAGGGTTAAGCCAGGTTAAGCCACTCCTTGTGACACTGGCATTCCATAGCCAAAGACCAGTTCAAGTCCCCGCTGCTCCACTTCGGATCCCACTCCCTGCTAATGTGCCTGAGGAATTGGCAGAAGATGGGCCAAGTGTGGGGGTGCCAGCCAGCCTTGTGGGAGATGTGGATGGGGTACCAGGCTCCTGGCTACAGCTTGGCTCAGACCAGGCCGTTGTGCCCATGTGGGTGGTGAACCAGTGGGTAGTGGGTCTCTCTCTCCCTTTCTCTGTTGCTTTGCTTTTCATATACATAAATAAATAAACTTTTAAAAATACTTAGGGAAAATTGTGTTTATGTATGCATGTTTTGTTTGTGGAAATAAAGACAGTACCTAATGAAGAAGCATTGTTTTAACTCTTTGAAGGTATTTTTTTTCCAGATTAAACTATGAAAATGCAGTCCTTACAGAAAATTTGAAGCTGAAAACACAAGAAATCAAAATGCTAAAGTCTGAAAATGCAGGTAAGCAAAAAGTGGTATTTTGATGGTTCTTTCAAAAATATAGTGAAAGATCAGTTTTATGTGACTGCCCTGTGCTTCAGGACGCACGCATTGGCACAGGTGTTATGGCTCTGTGGTTAACATTCCGTACTAGAGGGTCAAGTTCAAGTTCCAGCTTGAACCCCACTTCTGATCCAGCGTCCTGCGGCCCTGCACCCTGGGAGGCAGTGGTACTGGCTCAAGAAGTCCCTGTCCCCCACATGGGCGTCCGGGAGCAGGTCAGGCCTTCTGGCTCTGACCTGGACCAGTTCAGACAGCAAGAGGCATTTGGGGAGTGAACAGTTAGATTTCTCTCTCACTCTCTCCATCTCTCTCTTCAATTAATTAAATCAATTTTTAAAAAATATTTATTTATTTTTATTGGAAAGTCAGATATACATACAGGAAGAGAGACGGAGAGGAAGATCTTCCCTCTGATGATTCACTCCCCAAGTGGCCGCAACGGCTGGAGGTGAGCCAATCTGAAGCCAGGAGCCAGGAACCTCCTCCAGGTCTCCCACACGAGATCAGGGTCCCAGGGCTTTGGGCTGTCCTCTGCTGTTTTCCCAGACCACAAGCAGGAAGCTGGACGGGAAGTGGAGCTGCTGGGATTAGAACCGGTGCCCATATGGGATCCTGGGCATTTGGGGCGAGGAATTTAGCCACTAGGGCCCTAAATCAAACTTTAAAAGAAGAATCTACACATATTGACAGAGACCAGAGATAGTGGAATGAAGGAATGCATCCTTCCAATTTTTTGAAATTAAGCGGCCTGTATGCTGGCGTAGTGGAGATCATTACCTGAAATGGCGGAGTCTCCTATGGGCACTGCCCCCAGTCCCAGCTGCCCCACTGCCAATCCAGCTCCCTGCTAACAGGCCTGGGATCTCAACAGAGGGTGACTCGAGTGCTTGGGCCCCTGCAGCCACATGGGAGACCCAGAGGACGCTCCTGGCTTTAGCCTGGGCCCAGTAACTGGCAGTTGCGGCCATTTGGGGAGTGAGCGGGTAAGTGGGCCATCTCTGTCCCCTTTGTCCCTTTGTCCCCAAGGTCAAACCTGATACCCACGAAGCAATTTCTTCGCAGTCTCGACTGGCGCAGCACCTGATGTTTGAGGAACTAAGTAGATAGGACATCTCTTCAAAAAACTCGTGACAATTCACACTAAGAAAGCACTGCACAGGGATCTCCTTAAGTCTAAGGTTTTAGTATAAAAATAACATAAAATAAATAATTTTTAAAATCCAAGGTTTTATTCGTTTATTTGAAAGAAGGAGACCCATGTGGGGTTAGTCATTTGAGGTGGAGGATTAGCCAGTTGAGACAATGTGTTGGCCCCATAAATGCCCCTTTCCATTTCATCCCAACTTTCCACGCGCCTTCATTGTACTCTGGCGTAACGATTTTAGGAGTAGATGTCAATCCTCCCTTCCCTTCTTAGTGGGAACTAGACGGTAGCTCGAAGGAGGCGAGGCCGGGGGTGGGCCGGTGGGTGTCTGCACCGCACTCGGCAGCCCTGCCCAGCGGAGTTAGGGGGCTTCCGCGTGAGAGACGGGGGTCAGCTTAGCTGGCATCTCACAGGGATGGTCTCCTGCGTCGCCCACGTTCCATCCGATGGCCTCTGTCTAGACGTCATAAGACCGTGGCGTGCGCCTCGCTGGTAAGGACTGGGTGTAGAACGTTGGCTTCACTAGACGAGGCGAGGCAGGGGACCGACCTGTGACTGACACGTACTGGTGTGGCCTGCCCTAGCTTTGAACCGGCGGTGTTTGGAAGCCCTGTCCGTGCTGGACGTCACACAGCAGCAGGTGGCCCAGGAGAGCCTGCACACCGCTGGCTCCGCGGAGGTTTCCACGCTGGAGGTAGGAAGCGTGCGTGCCTGCTGAGCGACTGGCCTGCCTCCCTTCTCTCTCCCCTGGCACCTTGCTTTGGCCGTGCCCTCCGTGCGTGGCAGCCCTTGGCTGGCCACTTTCTGTTCCGTGTGTCTCCTGCGTCCGCAGCATCGTGCCCTTGTTGTGTTGGGGCTCCCGGCTGCTCCGTCCCTGACTGTCAGCCTCGCCTTCATCTCAGCTTTTAGCCTCAGGGTCAGAGGAGGAGATGAGGGAGGCGGGGCGGGGTTCAGGGAGGCTTCCCAGGAGAGGGGCTCGGCTGTGATGGACACACACCTGCTGGGGCCTCTGTGCTGTTCCTTGCTGGCCTGTGAGCACACTGTGTGTGCGAGTCTGTAGGACCCGCAAGCTCCTGAACCTTGCAGGAAATAGGGGTAGGCGTTTGGGGTGGGGGCTAAAAGGCCCCCGTCCCATATGGGAGTGTCCGGGTTGGAGTGCCAGGTCTGTTGGCCATCTAGCTTCCTGGGAGCCCATGTTGATGGCCGTGCCTGGCACTCAGACTCGAGTAGGACTTTGAACTCCTGACTTCAGCTTGGGCCATCCCTGCCTGTTACAGGTGTTTGTGGAGAGAGAACTTGTGGGTGGAAAATTCACTCTTTATCGCTCAAATAAAGAAAAACAAAACTAAATGTATTTTTTTAGCAATGTGGCAGTGGAGGGAGAGAGGCCCACCACACTCACTGTGAAATGGCAAAAAAAGCAACTGTAAATACTGAAGTTCAGGCCCGGTGAGGTAGCCTAGTGGCTAGAGTCCTTGTCTTGAATGCCCTGGGATCCCATATGGGTGCCGATTTGTATCCCAGCGGCTCCACTTCCCATCCAGCTCCCTGCTTGTGGCCTGGGAAGGCAGTCGAGGATGGCCCAAGGCCTTGGGACCCTGCACCCGTGTGGGAGACCTGGAAGAAGTTCCTGGCTCCTGGCTTCAGATTGACTCAGCTCCGGCCGTGGCAGCTACTTGGGGAGTGAATCATTGGATAGAAGATCTGCCCCTCCTCCTCTCTGTATATATCTGACTTTCCAATAAAAATAAATAGAGCTTTAACAAAAATATAATAAATAAAATAAAATTTTTCTTTCCTTTAATTTGAAGTTCAGATTCACATAGAAAAGGACAGACACAGTGGTCTTCCATCTACTGGTTCACTCTCCAAGTGGCTGCCACGGCCGGAGCTGAGCCAATCCGAAGCCAGGTGCCAGGAGCTTCTTTTGGGTCTCCCATGTGGGTGCAGGGTCCCAAGGCATTGAGCCATCCTTGCCTTTGCTGCTTCCGCAGGTCATGAACAGAGAGCTGGATGGGAAGTGGAGCAGCCCAGACTGCTGTGGGATGCTGACCTGTGGTATGCTGACCCTGTAGGCAGAGGCTTAGCCTGCCTCAGCATGTGGTGGCTGCTTACTTTTATTGTCATTTCTTTATTTATTTGAAAGGCAGAGCAAGAGAGCGAGAACAGAGAGAAGATATCTTCTATTCATTGGTTTACTTCCTAAGCGGCCACAACATCCGGGGTCATTTTGCACTGCCCTCCCAGATGCGCGAGCAGGAAGCTGAGCAAACAGACCAGCTGGGGTTCAAAGTGGAGCACTGACGTAGGACAGAGTCACCGCAAGCCAGAGCTTAACCCACTGTGCCACAGCATCTGCTCCCAAACCGGCACGTGTGTGTTTCAGTGGGCTTCTTCTTTCGTATTTCTTTATTTGTAACTTTTTAAAACTTTGTTGGGCAAGTAATATTTGTGCCCCTTGACCGGCCCTGGAGCACTATTTCAGCACACACGAGCTGAGCAGATGAGCGATCACAGTCCCGGGGTCCCCCAGCTCCTCCCCTGCGTGTCCTGGACGCAGCGCATCACTGCGAGCTGGCCCGCCGTGCAGGGGAATGGCACAAACTGTTCCTTTTGTTCTGGGCCCTTTGCCCAGCGTCCCTCTGTCCCTCTACTCATGCCCATTCTTTTCTTTTGAAGATATATTTGTTTTCATTAGAAAGGCAGATTCATTTACGGAGAGAAGGGAGAGATAGAAAGATCTTCCATGTGCTATTTCGCTCAAATGGCCGTAGTGGCTGGAGCCGGGAGCCTCTTCCGGGTAATTCCAAAACAGTGGGTCAACCCAGATGTCTTGAGCACGATGCACGGCTGCCGAGCCTTGGGTGGGAGAATGAAGCTGCTCTCCACCCTCCCTGACAGTCCCCCTTGGGCTGTCGCTTCTGAGCCTGACACCCTTCTTGGGGCGGGGGACAGGCTGGTCCAGGGGCGCTTGGGAAATCTTCAGTGTGGATGTTGGTGCTAAAAATACTGTTAGGCTCCGTTCCTGCCGCGGACAGAAAAGCTCTCGGAGTGAGAAGAAGGAAGGTGCTATTCCTTTTTTAAGTTGTCATTCCAAACAGTGAGTTTGTTTCTCTCATGTGGCCAATTTCCCCTTGCACCCCAAACTCCTGATCCTGGCGTTCTTCTCTTTCCCTTTTTCCTTTCTTGGGTTTCTTTGCTTGAATAGTGAAGGGTGTGTGTGTGTGTGTGTGTGTGTGTGTGTGAGGTGCCCCTCTGTCGCGCGTGGCTAATGCAGCATGGCCCTTCATCATGGAGCAATGCTTTCGGATTTGCAGCTAGCAGTCCTCGGAGCCTGCCTTTGTCCCGGTCCTGGAGGGAGGCCCTGTCCTTGTGCCCAAACGGCGGCATCCAGCCGGAAGTTGGTGCTGCAGCTGAAGCAGGAGGTACTGCCCCCATCGCAACTGCCCCAGCCGTGATCCCTGCTCTCTGTCAGCAGGGCTCAGTGGGAGCATCTGTGATAATGAACTTGGCTGGAGGGGCTGTCACCTAGAGGTGCATCCCTCAGCATTTCCCCCTGCACCGGATTTTGTCCACGTGGCATCTATGAAACCATGTAAGGTCATTGACCTCAGGATAGAGTGCATGTGCATTTTTTTAAAAAGATTTATTTTTTTGAAAAGAGTAACAGAGAAAAAGGGGAGACACCCGTGCAATTGCTGCGGCTTGGCCAGCCGGAAGTCACGAGTCTGGAATTACATCTGGGTCTTCCATGTGTGTGGTGGGGACCTGAGCACATGGGCTGTCTGCTTTGCTTTCTCAGGCACGTAAGCAGAGAGCTGGAGCAGACGTGGAGCAGCCAGGCCTTGAGTGGTACCCAGATATGGGATGCCACAGCACTGGTCCTTGTAGTTGGTGTTTCTAAATTTTCTGTTCGTGGACCTAAAAGGAACCCTGCACATTGATGGTGAGAGCCGCTGGGTCAGCAGTGGACAGGAAAGTGACCTGTGCACCTGGCAGCTTCCATCATTTACCAGCTGCGGCTTTGGGTAGACCAAGTCTGTTTTCTAATGTGTTTATTGAGGAAGTGCTAATGCCCTGAGAACAGAGGAAACAGACATGGATTTTTTTCTTGGAAGATTTATTTATTTTTCTGGGAAAGTCTGATATACAGACAGGAGGAGAGACAGAGAGGAAGATCTTCCTTCCATTGATTCACTCTCCAGAGCTGAGCTGATCCGAAGCTAGGATCCCGGAGCTTCTTCTGCGTCTTCCACACACAGGGCTTTGCGCCATCTTTAACTGCTTTCCCAGGCCACCAGCAGGGCTCTGGATGGAAGTGGAGCAGCCAAGACAGAAATTGGTGCCTGTATGGATGTCAGCACTTAAGAGGGAGGATTAGCCAACTGAGCCATCGTGCCAGGGCCACCATGGAATGTTTAGCATCCTCCCCTGAGCCTGGGATGCAGTTAATCCAACAATAACTACCGGCAAAGTAGGGCTTTCATTGCAAATGCAAAAGCATTCAAAGAGTTTGCGGCTAAAAAATTGAAACATAAGTTTGGGGGACCTGGCACTGTGGCCTAGCGGCTAAAATCCTGGTCTTGAACATGCCAGGATCCCTTATGGGCACTGGTTCTAATCCCGGAAGCTCCACTTCCCATCCAGCTCCCTGCTTGTGGCCTGGGAAAGCAGCAGAAGACAGCCCAAAGCCTTGGGACCCTGCACCAGCGTGGGATACCCGGAAGAGGCTCCTGGCTTCAGGCTTCCAGCTTCAGATCGGCACAGCACCAGCTGTTGTGCTCACTTGGGGAGTGAATCATTGGACGGAAGATCTTCCTCTCTGTCTCTCCTCCTCTCTGTATATCTGACTTTGTAATAGAAATAAATCTTGTTTTAAAAAGTGTTTTGGGACCAAAGCAGTCTCGAAACTCATGAAGCTTGTTTGTTTTTAGTACATTTTAACTCTGAACTTGTTGAAAATACCCGTGTGCAGTCTATGGACCATTAGTGGAAATGTTGCGCCCTCTGTAGGCGGCATGAGCCTTCGGAGCCTTCAACATAGGATGGCGTGCCAGAGTCCAGCTCAGCGGAGGGAGGCCTTGAGAGTCGGCGTTTACTGTCCCTTTCGGTGTCCAATCAGAATGTAGCTCTTGGCATCACCCCCGTTCTTTCTCCCTGGGTCCTCCTTCCCTGGCATTTGGGCAGGATGCCCCCAGCGGGGTGAGGCCCAAGAGCTGCATACGGGGAAACTCTGAGAGCCACCGACATGAGTCACATGGATGAGTCCAGCGCAAAGGGCAGCGAGGCAGGGGGGACTTGATTCAGTTGTCCAGCAAGAATTGTTCTGGCTTTGCCGCTGATGCCTCCCATCCTTCCTTCCAAAACCAGTTGGAACTTTTGCGGAAAAGTAAAGAAGAAGCGTATGTGATGGCCGATGCGTTCAGGATTGCGTTTGAGCAGCAGCTGATGAGAAGAAGCGACCAGGCCCTGAGATGGACACAGACGGATAAAATGTGGCAGACAGCAGCCAGACGAATCAGTTGGAAGCACCTTAAAGAGGACGGTAACTGTGCATCTTCATGGCTGTAGCAGGTGTCATGTCAGTGCTGTTAATGGTTACAGTCAAAGCACACCAGTTTGGTCCAATGTGCAAGGAGGTAATTCAAGTTCACACGTAGGTGTGAATTACTTAAAAAAAAAAATGTAGCAACTATGGAAAAAAGGGAGTCAGCGCATGTTACATTTGGAAATGAGTTCCTGAAATCAACAAGCGTAACGGGAGAGCCTCTGTGTTGCTGTTCTTGCACTTTACTTAGACAACGTTTGCGTTTAGCGGAAAACCTCGCAAAGGAGGCCTTGTGAAAGGAAATGGCTAAGGCGCTGCAGCACAGTGGGTTAAGCGGCAGTCTGCAATGCCAGCATCCCAAGCGGGTACCAGTTCATGTCCTGGCTGCTCCACTTCTGATCCACTTCCCTGCTAATGGCCTCAGAAAAGCATCAGAGGACGGCCCATGTGTTTGGGCTCCTGCCACCCACGGGGGTGTCCTGGAAGAATCTCCTGACTCCCGGCTTTGGCCTGGTCCAGCCCCAGCCACTGTGGCCACTAGGGAGTGAAACAGCAGAGGGAAGACCTTTCTCCCTCTACGATTCATACCTCTGAATAAGTTAGTCAATAATTTCCAAAAAGAAAATGACCAAGAAGGAAGTAAAATTGGTAATGGTATTTCAATTCAACAGAAATGTATCTGTCATTCATTAAGCATGTATTAAAAATGTATGCTTCCAGAGGAGACATTTACAGAAAGAGAAAATATATTAGGCTGGAACTTTCAGAAAATTGTCTTAGAGGGCCCGGCACAATAGCCTAGTGGCTGAAGTCCTCACTTTGCACACACCAGAATCCCATATGGACACTGGTTCTAATCCCAGTGGCTCTGCTTCTCATCCAGCTCCCTGCTTGTGGCCTGGGAAAGCAATTAAGGACGGCCCAAAGCCTTGGGACCCTGCACCTGCGTGGGAGACTCAGAAGAGGCTCCTGGCTCCTGGCTTTGGATTGGCTCAGCTCTGGCCATTGTGGTCACTTGGGGAGTAAATCATCGGATGGAAGATCTTCCTCTCTGTCTCTCCTCCTGTGTGTATCTGACTTTCCAATACAAATAAATAAATCTTTAAAGAAATCATCTTAGAGAAGAAGAAGTAAGCTTTGGCTTAGTTTTGGTGGTCCAGCAGTCACCGTTTGTGGATGTAATGAAATCCCTGAGGGTGTCACGGGATGCAGTGGCAGTACAGCAGCGCCCCCGTGTGGTCAGCCGGCGGACGTGGTCGCTGCCCCGTCAATGGCCAAGTCGTCTCAGCATCTATTTTTCCATCAGGCCCCCCCCCCCCCCCCCCGTAGATTCCATGTCATTTCACTCAAAGATGCAGGTTAGGTTCTATTTGAAAACCATTTATCAGCCCAGAGGGTCAAAATGAAATGTGTAGCAAGTTGAAATGTTTTAATATGAAACATGAGAAATAACTGTGTTTCTGTGTTGTAATATGCCACATCCATCTTCACTCCACAATTCCTGAAAATCAGGTGAACTTCCTAAATAATAAGCTGATTATAATAGTAGCAATTAAGCTTTTAAGAATTGATACATCTGTTTTTTTTTTTTTCAAAGTTAGGAATCTGCAACTTTTTTTTTTTTTTAAAGATTTATTTTTATTATTGGAAAGGCGGGTATACAGAGAGGAGAGACAGAGAGGAAGATCTTGCGTCCGATGATTCACTCCCCAAGTGAGCGCAACGGCCGATGCTATGCCGATCCGAAGCCAGGAGCCTCTTCAGGGTCTCCCACGCGGGTGCAGGGTCCCAGGGCTTTGAGCTGTCCTCAAGTGCTTTCCCAGACCATAAACAGGGAGCTGGAAGCGAAGTGAGGCTGCTGGGACGTGAGCCAGTGGCCATATCGGATCCTGGGTGTACAAGGTGAGGACTTTAGCTGCTAGGCTATCGCACTGGGCCCTCAACACCTATTTTTTTTTTCAATACATATTTTTAAGTACTGCTTTTCAAGTGGTAGTCAGTAGTAGTAGTGTAAGTATATGACAGTAATGTAGTTACTTTTAGAATCGGTAATGAAATGTTTGCTAGATTCACCGCTCGCCAGATTCGAGACTCGCCGAGCAGCAGGAAAGAATAACTCAGCCGAATATATGAAAAGCATTCAGATGGCCTTTATTTCAGGGAACCACGGTCACGGGCTTCCCTTCCCCGTGCAGCAGTCAGATGTAAAGGAGTATGCTGCACACGAAGAGGAGCAGTGGAAGAGGCTTTTTAAACTCTCCTTGACACGGAGGCGAGACGGGGGTCACCTCGGCCCCCATTGGCGGGGGATATGGGTCTGTGCCCCTCATTGGTGCAATGGGGTCTCACCGTCTGAGGGTCCCACCAGAATTCCACTGTCCGTTCTGGGTCTGGTTGGAGGCAAACCCCGCCCTTCTGCGGTTGCCATGGTAGCCATCAATGTAACCCCTACAGCTTTACTGAAAGCATGAGAAGTGGCTGATAGGGAAGGAGCAAGGAAAATAGTAAGCCCAAACTAAGAAAGTAGCAAAGACATCTTTTAAAAGTGATCTGTTTAGGGCCCCGCAGGGTAGCTCAGTGGCTTAAATTCCTGCCTTGCATGCACTTGGATTCCATATGGGCGCCGGTTCATAGGCCGCCTGCTTCCCATCCAGCTCCCTGCCTGTGGCCTGGGAAAGCAGTCGAGGACGGCCCAAAACCTTGGGACCCTGCACCCGCGCGTGAGAGACCCAGAAGAGGCTCCTGGCTCCTGGCTTTGGATCAGCACAGCTCTGGCCGTTGTGACCAGTTGGGTGAATGAGCCAGTGGATGGAAGATTTTTCTGTCTTTCTTTCTCTCTGTAAATCTGACTTTGCAAGGAAATAAATAAATCATTAAAGAAAAAAAAAGCGATCCAATAGCCGCTCATCAGTGGAAGTTAGGGCGAAAGAGACAATGTGGTTCACACTTCTTGTTCCCAAGGAGACATCCATCATCTTCTTTTTTTTTTTTTAAAGATTTATTTTTATTATTTTTTTTCATTGGAAAGGCGGATATACAGAGAGGAGAGACAGAGAGGAAGATCTTCCATCCGATGATTCACTCCCCAAGTGAGCGCAACGGGCCGATACTATGCCGATCCGAAACCAGGAGCCTCTTCCAGGTCTCCCACGCGGGTGCAGGTTCCCAAAGCTTTGGGCTGTCCTCGACTGCTTTCCCGGGCCACAGGCAGGGAGCTGGAAGGGAAGCGGGGCTGCCGGGATTAGAACCCCCAAGTGAGCGCAACGGGCCGATACTATGCCGATCCGAAGCCAGGAGCCTCTTCCAGGTCTCCCACGCGGGTGCAGGTTCCCAAAGCTTTGGGCTGTCCTCGACTGCTTTCCCGGGCCACAGGCAGGGAGCTGGAAGGGAAGCGGGGCTGCCGGGATTAGAACCGGCGCCCATATGGGATCCCGGGCGTGCAGCGGACTTCCACTGCCCACCGCCGGCCCATCCTCATCTTCTGAACTTACCGTCTCTAAGTGTTTCCTAACACGAAAATTTCAGAGTCCATTGACTTGCTCTGTCGTCTTTAATCATTTTTTTAAAAATAAATGCAGAATCGATATGCATGCGGGTGTTTTCTGCGATAACCGTTGGATGAAAACTGTCGGTAGGACGTTGCTGTCCAGCTCAGGGCAGGTGATTGTGCTGGGCGAGGCAGCTGGGGTGCGAGGGGCAGTGACTGACACCACTCGTGGGACTCCGGTGTGACAACAGAGCAGTGGGCTGCTCTGCTCTCAGCTGGGCCTGGGGAGCGAGCCAGCCTGCAGCAAGTTCAGGGCGTGCTGATGGAGCAGGGCTCTGGGGTCCCGTGTTGCTGACCGAAGGAAGTTGGGTTGTCCGTGTTGATGGAGGAGGAAGAGGGAGGGAGGGGAGAGAGAAGAAAAGGAAGAGAAGGGACCCAGCACGTAATGGTTACAGGTACCATTCTCTGGAAACTCCCCAAACCCAGTGTTTTGGGGTCTTAAAAAGGTTGGGTTTTTTTGTTGTTGTTGTTAATATATATATTTAAAGAGTTATCTATTTTTATCGGAAAGTTAGATTTTCAGAGTGAAGGAGAAACAGAAAGATCTTCAGTTCGCTGATTCACTGCCCAAATGGCCACAATGATTGGAGCTGCGCCTATCCCGAGCCAGGAACCAGGAGCCTCTCCCGGGTCTCCCACGTGGGTGCAGGGTCCCAAGGCTTTGGGCCGTCCTCGACTGCTTTCCCAGGCCACGAGCAGGGAGCTAGATGGGAAGTGGAGTAGCTGGGTTTAGAACCAGTGCCGATGTGGGTGCTGAGATAAAGGGTACAAGGCCTCAGTGCCACGACCCACCCTCCCCCATAGACTGTGCCCGGGATGGGTGTGCCAGGGCCTGCTTTGTTGGGCAATGCCTGTTGCTGCTAAGAGACACTGTGTGCGAGGGCCGGGCAGCACTCTCTGTCTCCCATTTGGTGGCACTCAGCTGCCTGCGGTGTCCTTCAGGCTGGCCGGCCACCCAGAGCCCTGCACACACGTGTCCCAGCAGCCTGAGAACACATTCAGAGGTGGCTTAGGTGACCCCTGCCACCCCCGTCATGACTGAGTGCGTTTTTCCATCTCAGCGGGATGTTCATGTTCAGTCTTAGGGTCTCCATCACTAAGGAGCCAAAAGACCTTAGGACAGAAACTCCTGGACCTGCTGCCTTCAGCAAACAGCTCTCAGAGGACAGGCCAGCATCACGCGCAGGAAGTCTTCAAGATGCTGGTAGATTCGGTCAGTATCTGCTCTCCCTGGGTTAGGGGTTGGAGGTAAACTCATCCGTGAGTTCCGCTCATTGCTGTCTATCCTCGCCTTCCATGTTCTTGCCCTGATCGGCCATCACGCTCCAAAACTGTGACCTTCGTCTCCCAGAACTCCCCGGATGCTGTGTCTTCTCCCAGCTGAGATCCATGCAGAACTAAGGCTCTGCCTTGGAGCAGGGGAGACTCCCACTGCTCACTCCGGCATGCCTCTAGGTACAGTGGAGACAACACCAAGTATTTATCCATGCATTTATTTGAAAAACTTAGGAGAGACAGACTGTGTAGTGCACCATCTGGCAGCCAGCATCCTGTAACGGAGCAGCCGCTCATATCCTGGCTGCCCCGCTTCCCGTCCAGCTCCTGCCTAGTGTGGCTGGGAACACGTCGGAGAGTGGCCTGTGTCTGTGGGCCCTGCAGCTGCGTGGCGGACCTGGAAGAAGCTTCTGGCTCCTGGCTTGGGACTGGCCCCGCTCTGGCTGTTGGGGGCCACCTGAGGAGTGAACCAAACCTGGATGTGATTTCTCTCTTGTTCTCATTCTTGCTCTCCCCGTCCCTATTTCTCTTGCTTTGTAACTCTGCCTTTCAAATAAATGCATCTTTTAAAAAAAAATGAAAAACAACCGTCAACGTGGAGTACAATGCTCAAGCATCATTTCATTGATTCATATCCGTTGACAGGTGTAAGAAAGAATGTTCTGGTAAAAGACTACAGTACTCCTTGCTTGGAATCTGTTCTGTGATTCGCTAACTGCTGCATTTTCAATTTCTATGCTTTCAGTTGAACGATAAAGAAGAAGCTTTGGCTCATCAAAGGAAAGTTAGTTACATGCTTGCCCGGGCGTTGGAAGGCAAAGATGCAACCTCCAAAGAGAAGAAAAACTCCCTGAGAGAAACTGTCCCCTGCCAATGCCCCGGGCATGAAGCGCCACCGTTGCCCATTGCGTGTGACCCTGTGCACCCACATGTCCAAGTGCTTAGTCCTGTGGCTTGCACCTGTGCGACCGCGCCCCCTCCGCCGGCTGCCCGGTGCACACGAACTCTTCCGAGGTCCCACTCTTGGCCATCGTGCGTCTCGCTTGGAAGAAAAGCCAGCTGAAGGCAGAAGCAAGAGCTGCCTGAGACCAGTGACTTCGACAGTGATGGTGTATGCTCTTGGAGTGTCTGCCTTGTAGCACATGGCTGTTCCTATGAGACATTAAGAGGTGGCAGTGTGGCATAGCGGGTGAAATTGCTGCCTGTAGTGCTGGCATCCCAGAGGGGCACCAGCTCACGTCCTGGCTGCTTCACTCTGGATCTCTGCTAACGCACCCAGGAAAGCTGCGAAGAATGGCCCGAGAGTTTGGGCCTCTCTCCCTGTGTGGGAGACCCGGGTGACACTCCTGGCTCCTGGCGTCAGCCTGGCCCGGCGCTAGCCTTCCTGGCTGTCTGCTGAGCGACACAGAGGGCTGGAGACCTTCCCCTGTCGCTCCCTCTCTCCCTGTAACGCTGATTTTCAAAATCAATCAGTAAACATTAGTATTCCACGTCATTTATAGCTTACTCTACTGTATTTTAGCTTTTCAGTGTGTACCAACATCTTAATCAAAAAGTAATGATTGCTTTGGAAAAAAAAAAAAGACCCATTTATACTGGCTGTTTTCTATTACAATAAATATGGGACATTTGAAACATTGTCATTTGCAGTGGTGTTCACGGCTTCGTGGCTTCCATATCATTACTTTCTTATAGTTTGCTTTTTGTTTCAATTAAAATTTCACATGATCTGTAAACACCACTTAAGTTTTGAGCTGCTAATTGGCACCACAGCTCATCAATAGGGACTGAGTATAGCCTTAAGTAATTATACTTATTACCACAACATCATACGAACAGTATTGAGCCTTTCAGGTTAAAGCGCTCAGGCTGGCTAATCGACAGTGTCATGGTGCAAGTGCTGTGCAGCTCAAGCTGCCTGTGGCTGCATACGCATGCGATGTCGGAGAGCCTGGGATGGCATCCTGCCTCCACGTCTGATGCACATTTCTGCCAGTGCACACCGTCGAAGGAGGCAGCTGATGGCCTCTGCCCCTGGGTCCTTCCCTGCCACCCACTGGGACGCTCCTGGGTTCAGTATGGACCAGTCCCGGCTGTCACACCGTCGAAGGAGGCAGCTGATGGCCTCTGCCCCTGGGTCCTTCCTTGCCACCCACTAGGACACTCCTGGGTTCAGTATGGACCAGTCCCAGCTGTTGAGGGCATCTGAGGAGTGAACCAACAGATAGATTTCTCTCTCTGTGGCTCTGCTTTTAAAATCAAACCTAAAAAAATTAACATTATTAATGCTCTGAGTAACAATGAGTACTGATTGTATTCATTCAACTTTTGTGATACATCTTTTTAAAATCTGCCTCCTGCAAGATTTTCTACTAACCTTATAAAGGTTTGTGTGTTTTTTTTATATCCATATTAAGTTGAAAGGCAACAATTTAACTTTGATGCAAAAATGATGGTAGTGGAACTTTGGGGGAAGAGTGTTCAGAGTCACGGCTACTTCCTTCAAGTTTCGGTGTGAGGGTGGCAGCGTCTTGTTGCCAAGGTGCCAACACTGCTGTGATGCTGCCTGCAGAGATGACGTAACAGTCCCAGGAACGCCAGGCTTGGGCATCTGGCGGAGCTGCCTAAGGCACCACATGCAGGCAGGGCCCACAGCGGAGCCGCTCCAGGCTGTCCGTTTCCACCAGCCAGGGGGTTTTACAGAAATGAAGATCAATCAATTGATCAGAGTCTGTGGAAAAAGGCAAATACTGATGGTCTGCAGTCCCGATGCAATGACCCAACTGGCTAACCTTCCTATGCAAGCGCGGGGTTCCACATAGGTGCTGGCTCATGTCAGAGCTGTTCAACTTCTGATCTAGTCCATGCTTGCGGCTTGGGAAAGTAGAAGATGCTGGCCTGTTGGTGCCCAGACAGCACATGCACCGGCCCGGAGGTGGCCCAGGCTCTGTGGCTCACCTGCCGGCTCCATGTGTGTAGTGGGTCTGCGGGAGGAACAGGTGAGGGGAGGCCCCAGAGGTCAGAGAAGGAGCTGAGTTCTGTCCTACGGGGCAGGGCCACAGGTGGTTGAAGCACAGTAATGCCACCCCCTATCCTCGGGCTGCGCTGGCATCTCTCATCCAGCTGCAGGGAACAGGGTAATCGGAGCAGACTGGGGAGACCCAGGGCCATCCCTCACCATGACCACTCTTCCGTCTCTGCACAGGAAAGGCTTCCCCAGAGGCAACCGGGCCTAGCACCTGCCTTGGCATAGGCCCCCTGCCCAAAATGCGAATACCAGAGAACCGGGACCCAGTACCTGCCTTGGCAAAGGTCCCTGCCTACCAGGCCACCCCCCCTCACCCCCAGACTGCTGTCTTTGCCATCCATCTCCCTTCTGACCTCCAGGATTTTTGCAAGATGAAGACCTGAACCCGGCCAAGCCCCCCAGAACTGCTCCACACCACAGCTTCAAGGAGAGAGAACAGCAGCCGGAAAGGCCCGAAAGGGTGGACATGACCCAGTCAAGTGACCTGAGGCTCCTGGGGGCCCATCCAGGCCACCTCTGTGACTCCCAGCAGGGTCTGGTTATAGGGACTGTGGCCCTGTGCTGTGGCCCTGGGGCAGGTGCACAATGCCAGCAGACCCTGTGTTCCCACACATCCCACAGGACTAAGTCTATGAACACAGCTGAGATTTTTATTCATGCCGCCACCTGCCAACTCCAACACCACGCACAGGTGGTGACCCACGTGGCACACCTGCAGCAGCCGGACGATGTGGTTGTGCTGCAGGGTGCTGAGGATGCTGGCTTCTTGAGCCAGCTCTCTTGAGCTGTTGGGGTTCACTCGGTCATCCATGGCCACCTTCACAGCCACTTTCCTCCCTGATGGCCTGTGGCGGGCCAGCAGCACCATGCCGAAGGTGCCCTAGCCGAGGAGGGACAGGAAGTCCAGCTCAGCCTGGCAGTTAGCATCAGCCAGGAAGTGCTCCTGGCCTTCCATTGGGGGGCCCTAACTACTCTCTCTCAACTACTCTTTCTAAGGGATCAACAAACTAACTAATCCACAACCCTGACTGCACTAGCTAAGAAACAAAAAAGGACCACGAGGGAACTAGCGGGTAAGACAACTAAGACACAACACTAGCTAACTACCCTAACGACGTGAAATGGCAAGACTAAGGGCTATCTAACCAAAACTGAAAACAACAAACAGGAAAACCACTCCAAACAGCAAACACCGCCTAACTGCACTGACACTGACCAGTCTAACCACGCTAACTAGCTAGAAGTGGGCACAGCAAGAAATGAGCAAAACTGCAAAAAAAGACAAACGGGCCAAAATAACAAATAGGTAGAAAAAAATAAACTAAAATAAAGTGGGAAAATGGATAAACCAAACAGAACAAGAAACCAACAAACCAACCAAACAGCACTCACCACCACCCATCGCAAACACTAGGGAAGATGGGGCCAAGTCACACAGGTCACCAAAACAGCTCCCTGGCAAAGTGGACCAGAACCCAGGCCCGCGCAGGGCTTATATAGGCTGCAGGAGTTCCATCACCATAGCAATCCTTATGACGTCAGGGGAGAAATGGACCAATCACGGTCCAGCAGGCCCTGGCGCACATGCTGGTCTGGTCCTTGTGAGGTCAGAGCAGGCAGGGACGAATCACAGTTGCAGGACTCCTGGGGTGGGGGAGGGTCTCATGAAGAACATTCCACGTGAATAAAATGGGGACCCCAGCAGCTTTTTTAATAGGTAGGTGATATAGAAGTACATTTTACATTAAAGAAAGTATTGTAAGTAATTTAAAAACCTGTATTGTGCTGTAATGTAGTTTCTTACATTACACTTGTGCTTCAAAAGCCTATTAGTTCCTAGGTTGAACAACCATAACTACACATTTATGAAACTGCCTTGATGTCTACACTCTGAACACACGTTCCTTGAAGCTCTGGGAGATGGCTCTCAGATGATGGCACAGCTACTCTGGCATCGCTGAGAGGAAGGTGTCTTCCATGGCCGTGTGCCCTACCTTCACCATCAGATCCCCCACCAGGAACCGCGGGGGCCCAGAAGGTAGTGGGGCTGGGATGGTCCAGGAATGGAGGGCTAAGTGTCAGGGGAGACAGCCACATCCTGCACAGTTGTCCCTCAGAGAGCAGGGAGAGGCTGAGGCCTTCTCAGGCCTTCCAAAGAGGGCCAGTGCCTTGTTGGGCGTCCTCCAGTGGTGACAAGCAGTAGCCCACCCTTCCAGCGCAGTGAGAGACCCCCCTTCAGGGCCCAAGGTTGTGGGTCAGCGGATTTGCTGCCAGCGTCTCAGTAAGCACTGCTTGGAGTCCTGACTGCTCCGCTTCCAATGCAGCTCCCTGCCAACGTGCTGGGGAAGCAGCGTGAGATGTCCCGAATCCTGGGTCTCTGTCACCCTGTTGGGAGACTCAGAGGTTCACCAGGTGTGGGTGATTTGGCTCAACACCACGGTTGCAGTCATGTACTGGGTCCTGGATGTGGGGGGCCCAGTAAGGCCCAGGTGCTCTGACCTCAGTACTTTGCTTTTCTGAGCAGTGGCCTGGGTCGCATGTCTTGGGTCCTTTGGCCCAACTTCGTGGTGGGTGCTGGGCTGTGAGGTCACCTAGTCTGGTTCCTTTGGCCAGCCCAAGTGGAGAAAGCTGGACAGGTTTGCTCCAGAGTGGGCCCAGTGCGAAGCCCATGGGCTGCCCATGGCACACACGTCACATGGTCAGGACCAGTGGGCTGACCATAGAGTGCATGTGTCAGAACTGGGGCCTCCTCAGTGGAAAAGACAGAGCAGCATCAGGTGCCCAGATGCAAAAAAAATAAATAAATAAATAAAATTAAGGGCAGATCCGATTTGCAGGGACTGAGCCATCACGCTGGGCCATGGGTAGGTATTTGATACACTTTCCCTAACTGTTATTTTGCATTTTACTTTTCAAAATTTTATTTTTCATTTTATTAGAGATAGAGATTGGTTTTTCCACCTGCTGGCTCACTGCCCATGCAGGGACAACAGCACCATATCCAGCCTTGGCCGTCAGTGGCAAGCGCCCAAGGCCTCGGCCTCCCACCACGCTAACTCTCCCCGAGGCTGGATGGGGAGCAGAGTGGACAGAGTGAAACGGACGCTCTGAGAAGGGGTGCTCTTGTCACAGGCAGAGAACCCACCAGGACAGTGCCAACCCTATGCTTTTCTATTTCTAGAAAAACTATCACCAGTTTGTGATGTTACATGGTTAGGGGCCCAACACACTTATTTTCCCAGGATTTGTCATAATACATTTTAAATTATACATCTCAGGGCCCGGTGGTGTGGTCTAGCAGCTAAGGTCCTCGCCTTGAATGTGCCGGGATCCCATATGGGCACCGGTTCTAATCCCAGCAGCTCTGCTTCCCATCCAGCTCCCTGCTTGTGCCCTGGAAAGCAGCCGAGGATGGCCCAAAGCCTTGGGACCCTGTACCCATATGGGAGACCTAGAAGAAGTTCCTGGATCCTAGCTTCGGATCGGCATAGCACCGGCTGTTGCGGTCACTTGGGGAGTGAATCATGGGACG